TTACGGTTTGAACATCAGGCTGTATCTGATACACCTAAATACTGTCCTTGCTTTTTCAGGGTGTCTAACTGGTGGGCAGGGAAAGCTTTGACGGAAAGGCCCTCTGCTTGAACTATTTCAAAGGAACTAAGCACGAATCTATTCTACTGGTTTGAAAATCCCAAATTAATTAGACTACAAAACACACAGGTGTGTGCCCTCCATGTGTATTAGATGTAAACGGACTTAGAAGGGGCATTGATACACAGAAGGACATGCTAGGACACTGCTATGATTGCTTATAAACACGGGCTATCTTGGGCTGGTATCTCTCTAGAAATATAGTCTTAAGTAAACAAAAGTTTGGCCCTGGCTGACGAGGTTCTTCTGTAGGCCTTAGACACAGGCAAGTGTTTTTAAAAACGTGCCTGGACAGCTAAGAAGTTTATCCACCCAGTGCCTCAAATTCTCAAAGTTTATTTGAACACTGAGTGAATGGCTAATCTTCTACAAGTTTGGGGGCTTTAACAAGGTAAACAAACGGGTGGGCTGCAAAAGTAAACACTGCATTTCCTCCCAGGCTCATCCTAGCTTCCAAAATTCCTCTCTCTCACTCTTTTCACTATCCCCAGCCTCCTAGTTCCCAAGCTTGGTTTCTCGTACTCTGTAAAAGTACTGAAATTGCAGAGGAGACATTTTTAATTATAAGTACTACGGTAATGAATTCAAGTACACTCGTTTATCATAAAGGGCTTTCCCATCTGTCTCTAAAGTATACTTAAAAATGCTGTGTATTTGATAACATTAGCACCAACCATCTTCCACATGGTAATATTCAGCATTTTAGAAGTTCATCATCCCTCCCTGCCCCCCAAAGACCGCACAGTGGTGGTTCCAGAAAAAGCACATTTATCTCTGTGTTTGGGAGTGCCTGTGTGGTCTCTTCCTAATTTATTTGCACTCCAATCCTCAGGGATTGCATCGCAATCCCCCCAGGCAAAGGGAGATTAGGGAACAGAGCTGTCTGCTTCTCCCCATCCTGACAGAGAAGGGAAAACAACTTCCCAAGTCCCACAAGTTCTTCTGGCCACTGTACAAATTGTTCTTGAGCGTGGAGGGTTTCCAAAAGCCCTAATTAGCAACTCACAGCAAACATTTCTTTGCATTAGCTAATGATCCGGCTACACTTGTAAGCAAACAGAACCAACATATCTAATCAATGCGGAAAAACCAACCAAATGCCTATTAAACATCTGGATGTAATTTTCTAGTTAGAACAAAATGAAAACACATGCAGGTTCCTTTGATGTGCGTCTTAACAAAGAAATTGTTGAGAAAAAAAAAAAGCATACTGGTCAGTTGATGTGTCATTTTCATAAAGTCTGCTCGTTTCTCTTCAAATGCTCCCAGTTTAATTTAGTTGGTTTCCTGCAATCTCTAATTTTACCATATTGTGTGAAACCGCAAGAGATTCTTTGGATGTGATTTTATTTGAGGTTTTACTGCTGCATGGATCTGCTACTGATTTTTTTCTCCCTTCTCTCTGCCTTTGCCCCTCCACCTCCACACCCATCCCGCCCTTTTCTTTGGTAAAAGGGTGGGGGAGAAAAAGGTTAGAAAGCAATGCTGGGAAAAATTCTTCTAGACTCTGCATTCCTAGGTTTAAGAAAACTCTCAGTGAAGAAAAAGTCAAATGAGGAAATGTCTGAGCAATAACTCACAGCTAAAGGAAGAGAAAATGATAAAAGTGTGCTTTAAAAAATTGTCACATTTATTTCAAATAATAGATTTAAAAGATATATAATTTCTATGATCAGTACCCATAGTTTTTCCCATTTTGTCTAGTATCTATTCTACATAACATTTAGTTTTTGTAATTACTTATGCTATTGGTGAGTTGAAATTTGATAATCAGCAACAAATGAATGGAAATATATCCATACACGCTTCAAGATAAAATGAAAGATCTGACAATCTTTTTGTTTCTTTAGCAGAAGATAGAGTACTTTTGTTTCAATTTCCCATGGAAGCAGCATACTATTACTTTATGTAAAAACATTGACATATGAATATGTTAAAGGTAAAGAAGATTATGGTTAAGAGACTTTAAATAGAAGACCAAAATTACAGATTTCATGAGCGGGACTATTTTCTTTTAAACAGGCTGTAGGCAATCTGCACATATATTATTTATTTAAAACATAAGATTAAAGCTACTTGATTGTTTAAACACTATGATTTGTAATGCAGTTTGATGAGAGTTTTGTAGTATAATTATTACAGCATGACAATCATGGAGAAAATATGACCTTGAAAAAAAGCAGTGCCTTTTTTCCCACTCTCACAGAGGAAGATGTTCTAAATGGGAAAGAAGACTTTGAAAACCAAAAGCCATCCATTTTTATGTGCACAATTAAGCGTCTTTTAATTTTAAAATCATTACGCTTTTTCTTTTGGGGGGAATGATACGTTCTAAGGAAATCTGAAGGCCTGGTGTTTTAAACTCTACTGGTAAGCAAACACTAGTTGAAAGAGAATTTCCAGTTTTTACTCCAGGCCAACTGGGAAAAATGGTGAGCAGGCACGTTTTCTGTGAGTTGTATTAGAGAATATTTAAAGACAATGAGTTAGAACTGATAGGGGGTGGGGTAGATTAGGGAAAGAAGAGACATAACACTTTTGCTCCTGTTCCAAAGCATACTGTTGTAATTGCTCTGTTTAATCTTAATTGCCAGAGGGTGGCAGTTAGTTAAGGTGCAGGCACCAGGTAAAGTTTGGGTAAGCCAGGGAGACGTCTCAGTTGCTTCAGTTATCGCAACATGTACACACGCACACTGGTGGCATCTAAGCACTTTCTACCCAGTCTTGGAAACAATTATGGGATGAATGGACCACAGACTGGCATTTGTGGCCCAATCACCGCCAGATTATTTCAAGGACCACAAGCTGCCAAAGGACAAAGCTTAGACGCCCCCAGATCATACAATTTCAAGATGTCCTGTATTGCTCTCATCACCAAATGTAAGACTTCTTTCCTTTTCCTTTTCCATGTTAGGAAAATGAATAACATAACCCCTTTCCCAACTCCACTTAAAGAGAATACTGTAAAGCTACAATGCTCAAGTTGTTTAAGAATTTACTATGGTCTTGTACATATTGGCTAAAATCATGCTTTTATTTTTCATTTATAATTGATGCAATTACAGTCAAATCAATATCATACATATTTAAAACAACTCTAACAGCGAAATGTGCTATCTAAAATAATTCTTTTAATATTTCAAGAAAAAGACCTCTGTAAGTGCAGATCTTCAAATAAAATGTATGTCTGTTTAAATAAACTCCTTCCCATAAGTCTCTTGAAGGTAAAATAATGGGAATTTGAAGGTTATTAATACCAAAACTTTTAAACCATTTTCCAACATAATATGCATACTTGTGGAAGATGTGCCCCAATGGAGGAAGTTATCACCATTTGGCTAAAACAGCATTATTCACTCACTGCTTATATGAACCGTCCTTTAAGCAAAACTATAAATACAGCAATACTGCTGGTGGTGTATACGGGGAAATATACAAAAAATGGAAATGCTCCATATTAATTATACAGCGTGTCTTGTTTATTCAAAAATCTCACAATCCCTGTTCACTCAAGTTCCACCTTGTGAGAACCTTAGCGACGTTATTTCCCCAACTCTTCCCACTTAGCTCCTTACACAGCTCAGCCCAGGGGTACCATCCAGACTGTGGGGGTGGGTTAGGCCGGACAGGTTTTTCAGGTCTTAAAGCGGGTTTATTCCATTGTCTCTCTTTGTTTCCGGGAATTGGAAACAGACTCGCGGTCCTGTTGCTTGAGATTCTCCTGAAAATCTCAGCCACCCCCCTCCTCCCTCCACACATAGAAGTCAAGACTTCAGAACAGAGACCTGGTATTTCGCGCCGCGGGCAAAGCATCTCTTTTGCTCCCCGGACGAGTGTGCCTTATTCTGGCGGCACCATGGATATCGTTCCCACTAAATGAAGGCACTAGGACCGTTTTTGCAAAGTGGTTTGAAACCCTCCCATAAACCCAAAATACTACCACCCTGGGTGCTGAGGAGTACTGAGTGGGATGGGAGGGCATTATAGTCAAGTCCTACACGGGTGGTGTTCAGACGCCAGCCAATGCATTGCTCATTTATGCATTTCCCACCAAGTGCACAGTCCACTTCTCGTGCATCTGTAAAAAGACAGCTCAAGGAAAAACGAACCTCTGAGAATTCTGTAAAATGTGGCTTCACTTTCAAAGAACAGTATCAAACATGGGGCCAACACAGAAAAATGCATTTCCTCGAATTACCAACTATCCCCTCTCTGCCGCCAATAAGGAACTATGCGGTTAATCTCTGAGTTACTTTCACTGAGAGGTGAGAATTCTCATTGAAGGGACCAGTGACAGGTTTTTTGCAAACTCGAGCCCCCAGCTTCGGCGGTGGCACGCTCGCCGGTCCCTCCCGCTCGCGCGCACCCGCGCGTTCCCTAGCCGGCTCCCCACGTTACTTTGATTGACAGCCCAGCCCCGCCGCTCTCCTTCCCACCGACCTTCCCATCCCCAGTGCCAATCTCCGTAACACGCCGCTTCCGATTGGCTGGTTCTGGCGTCCCGCGGCTCCTCCAGAACAGTTCCTCACCAAGCCCCGAGGACGCGGCAGTAGGAGGAGGGGCTGGTGGATGGGAGGGGAGACCGAGGAGACGGCGGTGATGGAAGCGAGTGTGGTGGAAGAGAAGAGGGAGGGAGAACGTCCTGTCCGGTGCTGCGCTTCCATTGGCTCTGAGAAGGTGTTACGTCAGCGACCCACGTTGGGTGCGGCGCACGTGATTGGCTGACCCGGCCTCCGTTCCCCCTCCCAGCCGTCCGGGCCCACGTCCCCCGCCGGCTCGGCGCTCGCGGCCCCCGCCCGCACGGGGCTGGGCGGGGCCGATGCTGGTTAGCTCCGGAGTGTGAAACCGCGTGTTAATGTAACCGGCGCGAGAGGCGCGGGCGGCGGTGGTGGGAGCGGCGGCTGCAGGAGCAGCAGCAGCGGCGGGTACCCCGTGTCCCGCGTCCCTAAGGCAGTCAACTGCTCCACCCCCGTCCCCGCACGGCCGGGCGGGACCCGCGCCACCAGCTCGGACCTCGGCTGTCCCACGGCGACTAAAAATCTTTTGGCCCAGCCGCGGTGACTACTCCAGACTCGCCTGCGGAGTTTGCTGGTTCAAGAAGGAGGCCGAGCGGCGGAGCGTACTTCTCTCCACCATCTCGTAGATGTCGTCCATCGCGTCGTGAGAGAACTTTGCAGGGGGGCTGGAGCGTCCTTTGCAGAGAGGCAGGCGTAGGAAAGGAAAGAAAGACGACCGAGGAGGAAAGGTCCGGAACGGCCAGGTCGGCCGTGCGGGACCAGTGCGCTCGGGGCGCTACGCCCTGATGCGCCCCGGGCTCGCGGAGCAGCGGGAGGCTTCGGGACTGCCTTCCATGGAGTAGCCCCGTCGGGCCAGGAGGGTTTGTGCAACCGCGGAGAACATCGAGTGCTGGTCGCACGGGGCGTGCCGAGCCGCCTCCCGGCGCGCCCTCCGCACTTTCCCCCCTTCGTCATCCTTCGCTCCCCGGCCCGGAGCCTCCGCTGCGGCTTCTCTCTCTCTCTCCCCGCCGCGTTTTGGATCCCGCGGGGGTCGGTCCCGAAACCACTGGGTTTGTTTGTGTGGGGTTAGTCAGGCCGCCGCTCCACCTGCACCTCGCCAGCCGCCGCCACGGGGAACACCCAGCGGGGAAGCAAACCAAGGGTATAGCGAAGAAAAGCTGCCCGCTAGGATTTGTTTGCCCAGGACGGGCGCTGCGCACGTCCACCGCCGAGGGGAGTGCTGCGGAGGCACCTCGCCCCCACCGCCCGCCCCGGAGACTGAGGCTCGCGTGTTGGAGTGGAGTCCCGAGCGCCGGCGTCGCGGCTCAGGTTCTTGGAGTATCTGGGCCTGGGGCGCCCTGAGATGTGGCCCTGAGGGCAGGAGCCGGCACCGACGGTAGCAGGAGCAGAAGTCGGGGGCGCGAGTGGCCGCTGCGTGGGGCCGAGCGCGCCTGTGTGCGTGGCCTGCGCGTCCCCTGGATTCCGCGCTTTTGCTTAGTTCCCGGCTTAATTTTCCTCGGCGGGATTAAAGTTGGAAATTGAGCGAAGAATTGAATTGCCGGGGAGCAGAGCCGCGGCCGCCGCCAGAGCGATGTTCCCGCAGAGCCGGCACCCGGTGAGGCGCGGCCCTGGGCGGGGGTGGGGTGGGGGCGGTTTTCTCCTGCTTTAGGGAGTCGAGTGGCTGCTGCTACCCGGCCGACCCCCTCCCCCATCGGTGTAAGGCAGGGAGGTGCGGGGTCCTCCTCCCGGGGTGGGGAGTGGGCTGAAAGACTAAATTTCCTCTTTTCCCTGTGGGCTCCCTCCTACTTGAAGTCTGAATTACTAGGACTGAGGCGCGGGGGGAGGCTGGGATTTTTTCCTGTAGCCACAACCTCCGCCTTCCCTGAAATGGGCTGCGCCCCCCCCCCTTTGTTTCTTGTTTCGCCTATTTACATGTCAATGCGGCCCCCGTTCCGGTGCGCCTGGAAGTGGCCCGGTGACTCTGGGAATGGGGAGCGTTGAAGGAGTTGTTTTTCTCCCCGGGTTCCCGGGGTCATTATCGTCCCCGTGGGGGAGGGGGCGCCGACGTCAGCGAAGACTTATCTGATTTGGTCCTACCTGGCCTCCGGGGAGCCCCCTTCCCTCTGGCCGTGTGACCCTGGCGCACTTAGCGCGATCCGCTCGGGGGGCAAGAAAACATTCTTACATAGTTTTTTTTAGAAGTTGAGGGGAAGGTCCACTTTCTCTGTCCCTAAAATGAAGCGCAAACACAAGTTTGGGGTTCCATTTTCTGCCACTTCCAACTTTATTTTTGTTTATGTCCCATCCTCTCCTTCTCTGACTTACTACTTTGTCTATCTGCCCGCGTTCCCGTCCCTCGGTCCCCCTCGCTGATCGCCTCCAGACGCCGCACCAGGCTGCAGGCCAGCCCTTCAAGTTCACTATCCCGGAATCCCTGGACCGGATTAAAGAGGAATTCCAGTTCCTGCAGGCACAGTATCACAGGTGCGTGTCCGGCTGTACCCGGCCAGGGAACGCGCGGGCAGCCCGGTGCCCCTTGTCTCCCAGCCTAGTGGCAGCGGCGGCGGTTGTACTTAGTTCTTTCGTCCAGGCGGTGGCGTGTGGAGTCGCAGTTAAGACCTGTCATTCACATTACCTCCTTGCCTGGCTCTTCCCGGGCCGCCTCTTCTCTTGTCTCCTCCTCCTCCCATTGTTTCCTTTTTACCCGTTTGCTGCTGTTCCAGGGAGTCCTTTTTTGTATCTTTAGGAGTTGCATGAGAACCGTCAATATTTGCTCTTCATTTATTTATTTTTCAACAGGCTGAGCTGAAACATTGGTTCAATCGATGCTTCAGCCCTGAAGTAGGGGTTCAGGCAAGCAAAGCCATGTTGAAATCACTGTTTGCCATACTAGAGAATTGGGTTGTTGGAGGCAAAGTCCAGTAGGGAAGGCTGGATGCTTTCAGTGGCCGTCATTGGTGATGATGAGGAGGTGTATAGTATGAGGGGGGCGCTCACCTGCTTTGGCGTCATTCTGGGTTGACTTGGGTAGAACATCTCAACATTAGCTTTTTCATGTTGTGATACCTGGCTTCAAAGGATTTATAAGTGAAAGCTGTTTGTAAAGTACCTTGTCCATAATGAATTTCCCAAAAAGGTTAATTTCTTTCCTTTGCTTTTATAAATTTATAGCTGATATGAGCTGAGAAATAAATGAATGGTGATTTTTACTTTTGTCGTGCTTGTGGAAAAGGATATAGATGAGGCTCAGTTCCTTGGGTGTGAATTTTCTTATTCTGTTAGGGGTTTTCTGATTTTTGACCTTTTGTCTGCTTGTAGATAGTATCTCTGGAGCTTGAAGCATACTTGCACACACTGTTTACTGAGCAGGAAGAACTTCAACCCACTTTATTGCAGTAGCTACTTGACATATTTTGGCAGGGATTTAAAAAACAAAGATTTTGAAAGGGACCAGCAATTGTAGAAATAACTTTAACAGCTAAGATTTTCCAACCTAAGGATTGAGTTAGGAAAAATTATACAGCCTGTGCCTAAGACTGAAGATTGTGCAAAGGCCCAAGTTTGGGGTCCAGAAAACACACTTTGATGCAGGGAGATAGAGAACAGATGACCGTGAGCAGGAATCAGACAGGTTTTGACAGATTTTTCATTCTTAGCATCTGATCAAGAAGAAAAAAGAAGAAAAAGAATGATAGCTGAAGGGATACCCTGTACTGTTCACATTATTCCTTTCCCCTATTAAATGTAAGGACAAAGCTTTTGGGTGTTTACCTAGATAGTTTTTATGGCTTTTCCAAATTGGTCTGTGTTTTTACTTAAAGTGCAAATATGTGAGGCAGATGTTAAAACAAGTGACATAATGTTTACATTAAGTTGCCTGTTTTGTTTTCATAGCCTTAAATTGGAATGTGAGAAACTGGCAAGTGAAAAGACAGAAATGCAGAGGCACTATGTGATGGTAGGTATCAAAGATTCTACTTGTCCCCTTTCCATGCTATATTAGCAAACGTGTGTTAGCATTATAATAATGCAAGTTAATGAAATGCTTGATTTTTTTTTTCTTTACAGTACTATGAAATGTCATATGGATTAAACATTGAAATGCATAAACAGGTAAGCTTTAGTTAAACCTCAAGCCCAAATGTGGAATCAGTTCATTTGATTTTACAATATTGGCTTTGTTCTCAATAGTGGGCTCTGGGGGATGGGATACGTATGCAGTTTTTCTGCTTTGGTTTCTCTCTTTTTGTGACTTGGTAGTAGTCTGCAGCAAGGGTTACTTCTAGACAATTATGGAGAGTTTAAGTGACTAAGTGAGAGGCATTTTGGAAATGTAAACTAGCCTGTTTATAGAGAGAGAGGAGTTGAGACTCTTAAGTTTATTCTTCCATCTATTCTCCTGAAAGATCTGGGTATTCTGTAGAGTTGCTGAAGTTCAGAGTAATGATTTTTTGTGCTGTTTTGGAGGGAAGTGTGGACCTGTGGGAGGAAAGGAGTGCTGAGGAGTTTGTCAGGGTAAACAAATATTCTTATCTTTGGCGTACTCTGTGCTTTGAGGTAGCATATAGCAACACTCAGGATTATTAGTGGCTTATTAACAAGCACATTTTTGAAAGATTTCTCAGTTGTTGCGGGTTTTGATGTGAAAAGAAGCATCCTTTTATGGCCAGAGCATATGTTGGAAGTTGCTTCAGTTCTGGTGGTTTTAAAAGCATGAAAAGATTAGTGACTGGAAAGCTCTAGCTATGACTATGAGTTTGCAAGTTCCCATAAAATTCACACTTATGGCTACTATAATGGTGTATAAAAAGAGTATTGAGCTGGAACAAGGCACTAAGGACCTCATAAGAGAAGAAAAGCTAAATGATTGCTCAGCCCAAAGGACCCTCGATTGAGTAGTCATTGTCTGCCAAAGAAAGCATTAATGGCAGGGTGTAAGTATTCTGGAGATATGCTGACATTCACTTTTTCATCAAGACGCTGGCTGGTACAATAAGTCTTTTAGAAATCGATTGCCTCTTAAAAAATTATCATCAGATGAAGTTGCACAGTTGGACACATTTCAAAGTGCAACAATACAATTCTTACTTGATGTATATGTGCTATTTCATCTCAAACCCTTGTTTCATTAAATTAAAGAGCATGGCTGACCGGCTAGGGCACAGTGGAGAAATTGATTAGTTCAGCCTTCAGATCTTCCTTATATTCAAAGACTTTCATTAAGCAAGTATGTTTCAGAGTTGAAGTCTGCTTTTGTAACTCTGCACTCTTTGATTTTTAATTCATCATAGATTTCGTAGTGTTAAGTTATCATCGTGTACATTAGATCTGTTCTTAGATATGTGTTTGGAAAGAGATATAGTTACACATTCAGGGCCTTTCATTAGTAAAATAATTGGGCCTTTAAAGTACTGATTTTATCCTGATTTGCAAAGTTGGTATCCTAGTTGATGTTGGGTGTATGCTTTTGTTTTTGTGTGTTTCAGTGGCTAGTGGCTTATTGAGGCAATTGTAACTTGCTGATAATAAGTGGACTAGAAGATCTATGACTAGCATGTATGGTCATTTAAATGAATTATGCAAATAAACTTGGGCTAGGAATTCTAACCTAGAACTTATTTTTTTTAAGTCATCCTGAAGGGTATGTTTTTGGTAACAAATACTCTGGACGAGTAAGAGGAGACTGAGCTTTTTCTTTCAACCATAAATTCAGAGGATTTAGTAACCTCCTTGATTTTTACTAGGCAATACCACTTCGATGTGGTGGTGTTTGCTGATGCTGGGTTTATTGGGAGAACTAAAAGAAGTGTGTAATTTTTCTGGGTTCTTAGAGGTTACATGGAGAATAACCTCTTCTTTGTGGGCTAGGGGAAGGATCATGGTGGGTCAGAAGCCCCATGGTGTGAAAATAGTTTACTTATGAGTTTCTGTACAGGGTCAGGCATTTGTGGGTACATACTGTCTGTCCATGAGCAAGCCTGTAGGCATTAATAATATGTTACATATAGTTGGCTCAGTAATTTGAAAAATATAAAAACCTGAGAGATACCATGTTTTTCACAGTAACTGGGTATTAAACCCCTAAAATTTAGTTTATATTGTAAATGCTGACAGACCCTTAACTAGAGCGGTGTGCAAAGTAGTGTTATAATTCAGTTTAAAGTGGCCTTACATTTGAAAAACATCCTTCTGAATGTCACACATTAATAATAAGTTCTGAGGAGGCATTTGGTGCAGCTAGTAATCATAATTCTTATTAAAACTGGTGACGTCTGGCCCCCAGGGTGTAGCCAGGCTCAAATTGATGCTTTTTGCCGCCTGATCACCAGCATGGCCTAAGTGCTCATTATATTGTAGAGAGGGCCTTTGGAGCTCTCATTAGATTTGACAGGAATTCTCTCTAGGGGGAAACTGGGCATTAGCGAGACTCCTGACAGGCTGATATTATTCCTGCTTTATGGCTTATAACCAAATGCTAGCGAGGCATCATCAGGGGACACAAAAAATTGTCATTTCTGACAACATCTTTGTTACTGGAAAAAAAAATGCAGTGATGGGGAAACTTTTAAAGCAGAGAGTCTTAATGCTGTTAAGATTTGTCTCCAGTGTGACGACTGCTCTCCCTTCCCACCTTTCAGTGGGTTTGTTGAAGGAATGAGTTTTAGAGATTTCAGTGTCAAATCTCACCACTGACTTTTCCTTCTGGAAGTTTTAAAGTGAAAGTGCATCCAAGTCAAGAATGGTATAATTGTGGTTTCCTCCCTTGGTGTGGTGCCCGCAGTCTTGTTTATGTTGTGTCAACACTTCCTGATAAGCCTTCCCCTTATGTGTTCTGCTCCCATTTGTGGCTGGTTACTGAAAAGGCAGTGGAACAGGATTGGTAATAGATAAGTTAAATCTTTTATTGTAGCCCTGGGAATTTTTTTTTTTCCTTAGAGCAGTGGTTCTCAACCTTCCTAATGCCACAATATATTTTCATTGTTAAGAAGGGGTCGCGCGCGATCCACAGGTTGAGACCCACTGTCTTAGAGCCTTTTATAAGGCTCGCTGTCTTCCTATCTCTCATCTGTGTAGATGGTAAACTCTAGCTATCTCTATAGAAGAGAGAGGTGGAAACCTCTCATGTAAAACTGAGCCAATTCTGATCCCATCAGAGGAGAAGGTGCATTAAAAAATAGCATATTGATGTGAATCTGGTTATTTCCAGGGCTGTGCCTAGCGTGTGTGGCAGTGTGATCTTTAAATTTATTTTTCTGTCATATGGCTTGGTATTACTTCATCTGATATTTTTGGAAACAAGATGCACTGTAAATGCATGCATAAGCCCTATTTAGCTTACTGGTTTATCTTTTCAGCACGCTGACAAAGCCATGCTATAAATTGTCATTGGTGGCTTCAGTTTGCACAGTAATTAATAGTTTTCAACAGTGAATTGTCTTCTGTGACCTCCACAGGCATCCTGAGAAGTAGATTGGTAGATTTTTGGCTATTCTTGTAGCTGTGGGCTCACGTTCACTAGAGTGTGGGGACTTACTCAGCCCTGAGCCTCTGTTGAAGCTTGAGCTGGGCTTGCCTGGTCCAGGGTTGCCAGCACTGCAGCTGGAAGTGTGAGGTGGGCCCCCAGCTTGGCATGTCTCTCTGGTTCTTACTCTTGGTGCTAATCAACTTCATGACCTCGAAGACACACCAGGGTTAGGTTCTAAAAGTTAGGAAAAATAGCTCGGCACCCATAGCACAGTGGTTCTGGCGCCAGTCACATACACTGAGGGTGGTGGGTTTGAACCCAGCCGGGCCAACAAATCAACTGCAACAATAAAAAAATGTCCCAGCTACTTGGGAAGCTGAGGCAAGAGAATTGCTTAAGCCCAAGAATTTGAGGTTGCTGTGAGCTATGACGCATGGCAGTCTACCGCATGGCACTCTACCGTGGGTGACACAGTGAGATTTTGTCTCAAAAGAAAAAAGGAAAATTAGCAATGCTGATAACTGGTCTGTGGGGGTCACAAACTGGGTAGGTAGAAGATTGTATCCCACTGAGCCATCCTGTCTTCAGGTTAAAATATGTCAAAGAACAGAAGAAATACATCAAGAGTGAGTTTGATGAGTTTGTCTTGCCTGTGTTCTGCTGAAGAGTGGATACAGGCCAACGCTTGAGCCTCTCCTAGGTGGTGAAGAATTTAAAAAATAGATGAAAGGCTCAGCTCTGGAAGAAATATGAGTATTCTGCAATCCTGATTTTGGGGTGGTGAAGGGGCAAAGGGGTAATGTTTCCAAGCTTCATGTGATATTTTAGGAAGCCCCGTGTCTTAGATCATGTACTTTTTTTTTTGAGAGAGAGTCTCACTTTTTTGCCCTCAGTAGATTGCTGTGGTGTCATAGCTCATAGCAACCTCAAACTCCTGGGCTTAGGTGATTCTCTTGCTTCAGCCTCCCAGGTATCTGGGACTATAGGTGTCCGCCACAACGCTGGACTGTGTTTTAGAGACAAGGTCTCACTCGGCTCAGGCCTGTCTCGAACCTGTGAGCTCAGTCAGTCGGTGCTCCTCAGCCTCCCAAGTGCTGGGATTATAGGCATGAGCCACCGTGCCCGACTTAGATCATGTACATTTTTGAAGGAAACTGCTTTCACAATTTGATGGTGCTGTAAAATTTCTTTTGGGAAAATACAGTGTTTTTTAGTGGGCTTTATTTTTCTTTTTTTAATGGACTGTCAGAAATTTACGTGTCATCCTTGTGCAGGGGCCATGCTAATCATATACCTTTTTAGTTTTAGTGTATGTGCTGTCAAAGCGACTTATGCTCCCCCCATATATTTATATGGAACTGTTAGTTTTTCACACGTGTTAATACCTTAGATGCAGTCTTTTTACTCTTTCTGTGTAAATTTTACCTTTTCATTTTTTTGCATTTTTGTCTACAGTTTCGCATGTTGCGATTTTTCTTCCCTGTAAGTTAAAGTCTTGAATTGGGAAACGACCAGCTGGAGTGTAGGCACTTAAGAGTTAAGCTCTACCAGGTGTTAATAACCTTGTCATACAAAGAGGGTAGCTGTCATCAAGATTGGAGTGGTTCCCAACTTCATTAACCAGGCCTGCCCTTTACAAGCATAAGTT